CTGCCACCCCGTTCGCCGGCGCAAGCCAAGAATCCTATTTTCTTATTTCCTGGAAAACTCTTCCAGGTTCCTACTCCTCCATCCCGCTGTGACATCCTCCAGCGAGCACGGCCGCCGCGGTCCAGACCCCGCGCGTCTCCATCGCGCCTCCCACACCCAGCACGGTGCCAAGCCTGGATCGCAGCCACGCCGAGGACGAGCACCAACACCCCTGCCACGGGCCAGGGCCCAGCAGGCAGGAAGCTTCCAGGTAAGGAAAGAGGGAGGCATCGTTCCCATTTAGGAGCAGGCAGCTGCAGGGCAGATTTTCCTGCATCACCATTTCGGAGTTGCCACATTTCAGCTCCGTTTTAGTAGCCAAATCCATCACCTGGCAGAAACATCAGCGGAAACTGGAGGGCGGACGCCAATAGCACTGACCCAATCAAGGGCAACAAGAGCGGATCCAGGCTCTGACAGTTGCTCATCCCCGACCCCACGAGGGAGAGCAACGCCTCTGGGAGAGCAGAGACATGGGATGGTGATTCGGTAGCCGCACACGGGACAAACCCGGGCCAGAGCACCCGGGGGCCGGCCGAGCAAGCTGACTGCCGGCGGCTTTTCTAGCTGCTCCCTGCCTCCTCCCCACAAGCAAAGCCGACGGGAGCAGTCCCGGGGGAATGACAGATGGGGGGCAACCCCAAGGAGCAGCAGACGGACGCGAGGTGATACCATGTCTCCCTCGAGCGGGAGGAGAGGCCGGGGGAAGCGCAGCGGTGGGGATGAAGGCAGGGCGGGCTGGCTCGCGTGCATCTCCCCACCCGGGGCTCAGAGCCAGGTCTAAGCACAGCTTCGACAGGAGAAGGCTGAGCAGGCAGCACAGGCTGGGATTCAGGGAAAAAAAAAAACCCCAAAACCTCTCTGTAGTTCTCAGCAGCTTTTCACCGGAGGCTCCCGCAACCCTTTCTGAATAATTCAGCAGCCTGCACAATCTCTCCGGAGGACGGACACTTTGCCGTCTGCGTTCAGCGGCAGAGATCAGGGAGCGGCCGGCCGCGGTCACACGGCTGGGAATTGGTTATCCTGGTCAGTCACAGCTGCGTGAGGCTTCCCCAGCACCAGGAGCTCCTTGCTCCAGCTGCAACGCGAAGCACTCTCCGCCTACAGAGCTCAGGCCTTGAAAGCCAGCCCGTCTGCCCCCGCGCCCCCCGCAGACCCGGTACCGCTCCTCTCAGCCTCCCCGTACAAGCAGAAACGCTTGCTGCTAAAAGCCTCCCGTAAAAGGCGAAGCCGTTTCCCTGCAGTTAGGGGTCCTTACCTCCTTCCTCCACTTGAGCTCGCAGAAAACCCGTTCGAAGCACTCGTGCATGTAGTTGAACTGCAAAGAGAAGGCGGGCGTCTCTCAGAGCAGCAGGCGGCCCCAGGCAGCCGCCCTGGCTCCCAGCCCGAGGGAGTCTGGCACTGGTTGCCAGCCCAGAGCTCCCCGTGCTGCGGGCTCCTCCTGGTGGCCACCAGCCCCTGCGTCTCCTCCTACCCCAAAAGCTGGAGCAGAGGGTGCTCCTCCAGCTTCTAGAGGGAAAACAAGCAGGCTCTGGGCTTTTCCTTAGCAAATCTGCAAAGAACAGGGGTACTTACGTAGGGGGTGAAGATTTTAACCCATCGGGGTTTCTTCTCTCCTCGTGCGTATTCGAAACAAAATGCCATTCCCTCTTCGTCCGTGTCCCACCGCTGCATTTCATCCCATTCGAATGCTATTACCTGGTTCTGAAGGAAGAGGAAACCCATGTGAGGCCAGAGCCCGGCAGACTGCGAGGAAGGGGAGGTTTAAGGCAGATCAGGTGGCAAAAGTGAAGGCACACGACGGGGGAGTGAGGATGCCTGGGACAGCCTTGCTGCAGAGAAGGGAACCAGCCAAGGAAGCAGCAGTGGAAACACACGCTAATACCCACAGAGCAGCCGGAAAAACCCCTGTGCCCCCAGCCACTGCCAAAATCCCTCCGGAGGCCTCCCAGCAGCAGTCCCGAGCCCCAGAGCTTTGGGGACACGGTGCTGGTGCAAAGCCGAGGTGGAGGCTGGGGGCTGAGCCCAGCTCCCCGGGACGTCCCGGCAGAAGCCCCCTTACCTCCAGCTGGCCCTCCTCTGTGCAGGCGTGGAGTTTAAAGTGCTTAATGCTGATGGCTGTGATCACGTGTCCCTTCCGCCGAGAGTCGCAGGAGCAGTGGGGGAAGATGATCTCGTTGTAGCCCTCGCACGTCCGTAACATGTTTAAGTACTGCAGAGAGAAGGCCGCAGGCATTAGCTTGCTCGGACGAAGGGAAGGGGACCCCTGCCGCCTCCTGCTTCTCGTGTCACCTCCATCTCTCGCATGCCCTAGGGCTCATCGCCCCCTTGGGAACCCCTGGCTTTACCCCAGCCCAGAGAGGCTGGATCCCCTCCGAAGGAAATCAAACCCCCACAGGCAGCGGGGCTGTGCTAGGGGAAGGAGGGAGCCCCCTCCCCAGAAGGTGAATCCATCCAGGTACAGATGTGCACGGAGCTCCCCGGGGCCCCGAATGCTAGAAGCCCTTTCCAGGAGGGCCGGTGCAGCAGAGTCGCCGATCGGCGCGACCACGTTCCCGCAGGAAAGGGTACGGATCCGAGCAAGCAGCTACAGCAGCCCTGGGACCGAACGCACAGCTCTCGCCCGAGCCACCCCCTCCTGACCCCTCCGGCCTGAGGATGAGACCAGGAAGAGAGGCTGCCGGGCCGACGTGGGCTCCGGGTCTTGCCGGGTCCTTCGATACGAGTGCTACCATTCCTGACAAGGTCCGAAGAGGTATTTGGGCCATTTCTTTCTTTCTGAGCATAGCCCAGACAAAGCCGCGCTGTGAGGACACCGGAGAAGCGCTGGGAGCTCAGAGTCACCGCTCGGGACGTGGGAGAAGCCAGGACCTTCTCCAGGGGCTGCTGCTCCAGAACCCTGCAGCCTCTCACTGCCTGGGAAGGGTTTACACAAGGGCACAACCACAACAAAGCCTGCAGGGACTTTTTAACCAAGGAACAAGCCACATCCAGACCGGAGGAAGGGAACAGATCCTCAAGTGCTGTGCTGCAGGCAGGACCCTTAATAACACGGAGCGGGGAAGAGGATGAAGTGCTTTGACTTTGTAGGCTCCTTGGGACACAGACGTCGTCTTCCCGACGCCCTGCTAGACCGGGGCCCTGCCGCTCCGCGCGTAAACGCAGATCTTTCTTCGGTCAGTATTAGAAATCCGGTGAGACAAGCAGAAACAAGAGAGCCATGAGACAACCCACAGGAGGAAGCAGCTATTTACTGATCCTTATCATCAGTTAATAATTACCCTTCTTGGCTTAGCATTTCGGGTGACCCTTCCGGGGCACACCCCGAGGCAGTCCCCCAGCAGGGACCTCGACAACTACCGCAGTCAAGCGGGCTCTGGGGCCTGACCAAGAGCAGCCAAACAGGAGATGGGGATCCCCAGGCCATCGGCTCTTCGAGAGCGGCCAAGCCGGCCACGGGAACGCAGGCGGGGTGCAGCGCGTCGGGGGACGGGCGGCCTCCCCTCATTCGGTACCAGCAGCCCCCAGTGACACAAGAAGTTATTTACAGATCAGATTCTTCTGCTGCTTGGTCTCCAAGCCAAGCTCGCCGCTGGCAGATGAGCTCAGGGCCCCCCCTTCGCTCCCCCAGGTCCCAGGCGGGCGGGCTCATCGAGTCGTACCGAGCCCCCAAGCATTTGCTGGGCAAAGCAGTAACAAGGCAGAAAATCCCTGACCAGACAGCGAGCTCTGGCACAGGATTTGCAATCTGGGAAGACTTCTGCCAGACACAAAAAAGAGAAACTAAGGCACAGAGGGGGCCACAATTTGCATTATGAGCGGGCCAGGACCTACCCCTCCCCTGGCTAGCGCAGCCCCTCCCCTGGCTAGCCCAGCACCATCTCCGAGGCGGTCTGAGGCAGAAAGAGACCTTTGCCTCCCCATTACTAGGAAGAAACAGCCATCCCCGAAGGGCTGCGGGTGAAGGATTGCTCCACCGCACGTTAAGCGCCTCACCTTTCAACACTGGCAATAACCCACGGGCTTTTATCGCTGCCTTGTCTGGAGCTGAGTCAATGGGTGATCTTGCCAAGGACAAGCCGCTGTTCGAACGCACCAGGCACGAGGGGCGGTTTTGGTTCGTGCGGCAGCCGACCCTCGGGCACGGCCCAGCCCTGCGCCTGGCATTCCCCCGCGCCTGCACGCCCTGCCAATCCCTCCTGCGCTAAGCCCACAGCGCTCCACGGTTATTGCTTTCCAAGAAAGATGGGTTTTTCGAGGCTGCGGGCGTAGAACGGTTTGGGCTGGAAGGGACCTTTGAAGGTCACCCAGTCCAACCCCCTGCCACAGGCAGGGACATCTTCTGCTGGATCAGGTCGCTCAAAGCCCCATCCAACCTGACCTTAAACCCTTCCAGGGATGGGGTACCCAGAGGTCCTCTGGGCAACCCGTGCCAGGGTCGCCTTCCCAGACACAGCGGTGCAGACAGGAAGGAAAGCGCAGAGGACGGGGAGGGTAACTCACCATGACCATCTTTCTCTGCTCACACAGCTTCTGTAACTGGTAGGACTTCTCCTCTGCTTTGATGTAGCCTTTCTTGACATCATCAACAGCCTAAATGGAAAAAGGGAAAGGAAACCCAGGAGGTCAGGCTAGAGGATCTCTTCACCACGTCACAATGCTTCGCCCTCCCTGGCTGGCCCCGAGGCTGCTTGGAGCAGCCACCCAAATTCACAGCCCCGGCAAGGTGACCAGCGTAGCCAGGGAGGCAGAGGGGTGGCCAGGCTCAGAGGGGTGGTTCTTCACACTCCCCGACCCCTGCCATGAGCCCCTGACTGCCTTGGGGAGCGTACGGGTGCCCAGGCATCCAGGAGGACTTTACGTCCCCTGGCAAAAAAGGAGGGATCTGGAAATGCTGGTACCTGGTATCCTGCTTTTGCCGTCAGCCACAGGCTGGTACACCCCTTCCGCTCCAGACACAGCCGTCTCCAGCAGAGCGGCACTGGCTTTTACCCACTGTCTGCTGGAGCCGTTGGCATGAAAATGTATTTTTCCTTCACGACTGAGAAGGCAGCCGGCTCCTTACTCTGGCTCCCCCGCTGCCCGGCGACGTTTAAAAACCCCCCAGCCAGTGAAGAGCCAGTCCAGGTGATCAAAGGATTTGACAACTACTGTTTTTATTTTATTTCAATGTGTACCAGAGGCTGGTACAGGCGCAGCTCAGAGAGCGCTGGGGCAGCATTTTTGCTGGTTGAGACAGAGCAGGATTCATCTTCCTGAACCTTGCAGATATCTGCCCCTGAGCTGGTCATCCTAGAGGGGCTTTACAGAGGCCATGGGAGAACATAGAATCATAGAATCACTTTGGTTGGAAAAGACCTTTGAGATCATCGAGTCCAACCTTTAGCCTAACCCTGCCATTCCACCACTAAACCATGTCCCTCAGCACCTCATCTCTCCTTCTTTTAAATACCTCCAGGGATGAGGACTCGACCACCTCCCTGGGCAGCCCATTCCAGAGCCTGACAACCCTTTCAGTGAAGAAGTTTTTCCCAATGTCCCACTTCATCCCCAAGAATCTGCCTAAAGCCAAATCACAGGCAGGAACACCCCCTTCCTTCGGGTGGCCCCTACGGCCCCTTTCCCCAGCCGGTTGCAGACACCTTCACTGCCAACACACAGAACTGAGGAAAGTGTCTCCGAGCCGAGGAGCGCAGCCCTCCAGGAGCCGCTGGCTCGCTCCGTGCCCCGCAGAAAGCGGCACAAGTCCTGCCTCCTGCTCCGACTGCGGCTTGGCCACGAGCTCACCACAGCGCTGCCAGTTCACCCGACCCGTGGGCTTCTACTTCTCTACAGCTCTTGGGCACCCACCTGGTGGAAGAAGTAGGTGACTGCCAGGTCGTTGTCATTGAGAAGAACCTCCTCCTCTGTAGTGAAGAGCCATTTTCGGATGGTCAGGCACGTTCCCGGCACCGCCGAGGTGTAGTTCTGCACGTAGAGTTTGTGGGGGAATTCATTGGGCGCCAGTTTGCGCACTGGAAAACGCACAAGACACGGAGGTAAGCACACAGCCCCACGCAGCGTCGGCAGCGTTGTCTGTGACCGCAGCCTGGCTGCCGTACAAACCAACGCTGGTGATGCCCTTCAGCTGAGCCAGCTGGGATCAGGACCCCAGCTCTGCTCCAAGGCCCTTCCTTCTCCTCCCTGACCAAATCCAGCTTTTTTTTTTCAATACCTGATTCCACAGCGTCGGACCACGCTGGTTCTCTAGAGCCGCAGGCAGGACTCTGCGTGAGACTGAACTCCTCTCGGCCGCCGGAGCTCAGCGTGGCTCTCGAGCATCAGCGCCGCAGCCTGACTTCATCCCCTCCTGTGCACAGAGGTCCGCCCTGCCTGAGCCTCAGGGTCGCAGCGCCCTGGACCTACACACTGTCCCCACAGCGTGGGGGGACTGCAGAAGGTGTCCCCCCCCATCCTGGCTGGCTGCCACCAGAGCCCAGACAAAACCTGCTGCATCGCTCAGCCAAGCTGGAGCAGCTGGGCCACTGGTCGGGACACTGACTGTCTTCAAATCTGCTTTACCCAGCTGCAGTGGACAAAAAAAGGCGGGGGCCAGTACGTCCCCTTCGCCGGGTAGGGATACGGTCACTACCTTGCTGCAGATGGGGCTCGCGCTTTCCAGAGGCATTAAATGGAGTGCATCCAGATGGGAATAAACGCGGATGTTCACAGCGAGCGTCCAGAAAGCACAAGCCATAAAGGTGAACTGGAGGTAGTTTTTACTTTCCAGTGCAGCCTGAGAAGTGCAGCACTCACAGCAACGAGGAATCGGTAGCTCCAGTTAGAGGCTGGCACCGTAAAAGCTTCCGGCAAGAGACCGTGCCGGCGTGCTGCAGCATCCCATCTCCCAAGGGCAGGCATTCCCACGCAGCCCTGCCCGGCCTCGGCAATCTCAGGGCGTGTCGCCCCCCCAGCCCTGCTCTTCCCCCACCACGGCCGTGCCCTGCTCCGACACGCCAGCACCCCGTAACCCTCAAACGCGACCGCAAAGCCGGTGGCAGAGGCAGCTCTGCAGTGCCAACAGTTTTACTGGAGACTGGTGATCTCTGCTGCCCCAGGGTCAGCATCTGAAGGCAAACCCGGCCTGTTCTGCGGGGCGAGTCATTTTAGGAGGGCTTTAAGTAGCTAAAAATCGCCCTGGCCATTCACCCAGAACCTCGTGAGCACGAGGAATGGCCCTAGAAGTCTCCTCCTCCAAGGCACAGTTTGCCCTGACAACAGGATGATTTTGAGGATGACAATCCAGAAATGAAGGTACCCAGCTGGGAATGAGAAATACACCTGGCTTAAATCCCAGCGCCGGGAAAAAATAAGACACAAACCAACCACTACACCCGTTTTGTGGTGCGACCGTGACATTTTGGCCTCTCTACAGCTTCAGCAAACCCCACGTGAAGCTGGGTGAAACCAGAGATTGCTGTGGCCAGGGATCTGAACCACAGCCCGGAGGCTCCGGCACATGCTAAGCGGGAAGGGTGGCAATTACTTAAGTGCCAAAATGATCACTTGGAATCCCACAGTCAAGCCTCAAATGCCATCGGGATTTAACCACGGAAGAAGAGATGAGAAGCCAAGATGCAGCTTGCAGCACATCCCCTCCAGGACCTGGACACCAACCCACACCTATGTGCGTGCAGACCGAGCGTGCCCTCGATCCACTTTCCTTTCCAGCAAAGGAAAAGGAAAAAATCCATCCCAAGCCACGGCGGGTGCCCCCTCTCCAGAGACGGCTGCGTTGCAGCGACGCTGCCCACATGCTGGACCCTTTGAACTGAAGTAAAATGCATCTCTCCATTTAACAAAAAGCTCGTCTCCCTGAACTGCTTAAGAGAGGGAAAGCCAAGCGGCAGCAAAAAAAGCCATCAAACTTTGAGGGCTCCTCATTGCCAGCACCTGCTGGGCCTGCCCGATTCCTCGCAGGGGCTCCTGATTTCATGAGCAGAGATAAGAGCCAAGAGTGCCACCGGGCGCTGCAGAGCTTCCTCAGTCGCCCGCCAGCACCGATGGGATCAGGAGACTTACCGAAGGAGTGATTGATCACTTCAAACAAGGCGAAGTAGTTTGCGGTAATACTGTCCATTCCAACTTTCGCAGCCACAGCCTGAAGAGCAACCAAACGGGAAAACGGGGTGAGCAAGCCAGGAGCCAGCAGCCGCCCGTCCTGCTCTGGGGCAAGGCTGGCTTCGTACAGGTCATTCCCAAGCACTCCCTAACCTGAGGTGCTAGTCACCACGGAAAGCTGAATTTTACTCTTCCAGTAAACCCAGACGTTTTCTTAAGCAAGGGCTTAGACTCTCCTGCTTTCGCCTTCCTGGAAACCGCTCCGTATTTTAAGTGCCACCACAGCTGGCAATTAGGTCACGTCTTCTTCTGATGCCTCCGGCTTCAGCGCCAACAGAAGAGGCGCGCACACCTCCCCTAGCAGTTGTCTCCAACCGCACGCTAGTACTGCAGCCCAAGCTCGCAGACCTCGGCGGAGGCGACGTGAAATTCCAGAGGCTGCATCCCAAAGGCACGGCCGCACTGCGAGTCCCAGCTGCAGGACTCTGCCGCGCAGAGCTGGGGCTCCCGAGAGCCTGCTCTTTCCCAACCCTCCGGCTCCCTCGCTTGCAGCAACGTTTTTAGTCCCCCTTTCATAACAGGTCTCCCCCGCACCATCTCATTCCCCCCGATCCATTGACAGCTTCTACTTTTCTTCCTGCAGCGCTGGCTGAAGTCACTCATCCTTAGTTTCCCACTTAGCGCTGCGCCTCCGGCCACTCGCAAGCCTGTAATCTGGCCGGAGGATTCCCCAAAAAGGGTCACTGCCCTCAACTGGCCGCCCTGCCACGCAGCCGCAGCGAGACTCGTGTGTTGGCTGCAGGCAGCTCTTGGATCCAACCCCTCCACCGCAGCCGCTGCAGGCCGTAACACACGATCTGTCTCGCGCTTGGAGGCATCCGCCAGCTTTAAGATGTTATCAGCGAGAATTAATTCGGCGATGACTCTGTCCTTGCAGCCAAGCCTGCCAGCGGAAAGCGCTGCTTCAGCACGGCGTGAGGCTTGAGCTCTCCAGCATCCCTGCCCTCTCTGCTGCAGCAGCGCGGCGGCGCTGATGCCCTCCTGCACTCGGAGAGGAGCAAGCGGGCACCCACGGGGTCTTGGTTAACATCCAAATTGTTAAAAAAACCAAAAACCCCCAAAAAACTAGCTCACCTGGTACACCTGGTCTGTAGTGCTGTTCTTTTTGACTCTGACCGTCACTGTTGTTATATCTGGTAACGCCACGCGGAGCTCCACGTCCGAGACGCCGTTGTAATTCTGGAGGAGGGAAGAAGAGAGGACAGAAATCAGCACCACACGAACTGGGCCCCAAGCTCTACGGACTACTTATTGCCTCGCACTGGCTAATTAAAGCGGTCGCTTTAACAACCAGCTGCTCTGCAAGCCTCAGGAATCCCATTCCAGTTGCACCAGAGGAATTCTGAAAGGAGGAAGATGCAAGCTGAGCAAACCGCCGGAGACCACGGCGGGGCAGGGTTTTCCACTCACGGGTTTGCCAGCAAAGAGCGAGGGAAAGCTCTGGGACGTGGCACCATGGAAAGGTTGGAAAAGGAGCAACAGTCGAAGGGCAAACAGCAACTCGCTGCTGCTGCTGCCTGGTACTCAGCGTGGCCGCTGCCTTTCTGGCCAAAGGCTGACGAATACAAATGGCTCATGAACGCAGAGCTGCCCGGGCTGCCGCCAGCACAGAAACCAGCAGTGAACTCAGGGAACGTGGGGATTTTTTTTTGCCACATCTCCCCTTGCCCGAGAGCAAGGGGCCGTGATAAGGCCTTGCGGCCAGTTCTGCTCTGCGCACGCCTCCAAGAGTGCCAGCGACGTTGCTCCTAGCTGCTGCTATGGAGGAAAGGTTCCCACGCGCAAGGAGGGACAGCAAACTGCAGCCTTGTCTTTTTGCTGTGGTTTTCTATTCAAAGGACGGAGGCTTTGGCAGGGAAGGAGGTGGCAGAGCCTCAGTGCTGTCACCTACCTCGTCCGACTCCGACAGGAACTCCTGCATGATGTCGCTCTCCCCGATGACACGTATCGAACACACTGCAGGACAGAGAGAGCAGGTTAGCGGGGTGCCTGGGGAAATGGGGACCCTCCCCTCCCAGGACCAGCCCAAAACTGACACGGAAACCACAACTGCCTGTTCTGCGGGCGGTGTGAAACAAGGCTGGTATCTCCAGCCTGGAAAAAACCTGCTCAAAGCAAGTGCTCTCCGGGCTGTATCAGGTGTCCTGGCACAAGGACTGATCCAGCCTGAACCCCCTACAGTAGCAAGCGACGGGAGGTGTTGAGTAACTCAACAGGATATTCCCCACGGGTGAAATCCAGGCCCCAGGCACACAGCCAACAGGAGGCTTAGCCTATACTTAAAAGTGGGCAAGAATGCCATAAATAGTACTTTTGCCTCTAAATAAAGAAGGTTATTCCAGAGGGACTGGAACTATTTGGGAGTTCAGGCCAAGCTCAGCAATCGATGGGGACCCGACCTGTATCGTGTTGCCTCCAAGACGCAACCAGGCTGCCCCTTCCTCCAGCCAGCCGGCAGCTGAGGATGAAGACGAAGGAGCTGGGCAAGGCAGGGCTGAGGTATCAGCGGGGTGGGGAAAACCTGACCCATATCCACCTTATGGGAAGAGGGGGCTTTGCTCCCAGGTGCCGGGTGAGGGAAGAGGCTGTTAACTCACACACGCTAACTGAGCTGCTTCCAGGCAGCTACGGCAATAGAACAGCATCACAGGAACGAGGGGTCATTGCTCCCCGAATCCCATCCACAACCTCTTCACTGCAAAACGCGGGGTCGGGTCTTTCAGCCAGACCCTCCGACGCAGAGGAAAGGTTTTGCATCCACTTTCCCATCACTTGAACTCAACCTAAAGGGAACTTCTGCTGCAGGCACCACGATTCCGATCGGAACGGACCAAAGCGCTCGGCCGCGAGCAAGCCCAGGTTGAGCTGAGCTCCCCTGATGAGAACGGCCTTGAACACGACTTCCTCCCTGCTGCAGAGCTTCCCTCCTCTTTCTCCTCCCCATGCTCCTTCATCTCCGAGATTACCGGCGAGCAACATGACACTATAAATAAAAGCTCGTTACGCGTTAAAAAACTAATTACACATTTTGTTGTTGGAAGGGCGCTGCAAGCCTGTAACACGTGCACCGTTAAGCTGTGCAAGCCTGAGCTCCCTCGCACCGCTTCAGCCCTAAAACCCAACCCAACGCAGAGCCTCCTTCCCCCCCCAGGTAAGCACACACCCGGGAAGTTCGGGACCACCCATGGAAGGATGTACCCTGAGGATTTGTTTCCTGGCGTGCGGCCGCCCAGGCTCTCCGCCCAGCTCAGTACCTTTCTCCAGGTACTCCTCCAGCCCTCGCCGCCGGGCGTCCAGCTGCTGCTCCGACAAGGAGAACGGCCACTTCCCCGGGAGACGCGGGAAAGTGAAGTTGGCAAATTCCCGTTTCAGGTTCTGGTGCAGGATGGCAAACTCCCGGTACCGCTTCGAGCAGAGCTGGCGGCCCGCCATGTAAACATTGTAGACCTGCAGGGAGGAGAAGAGGCTCACTGGGGCAAGAAAAGTTTTCCAAATCTGAACCGGCACAGCTCTGCCTTCTGGACCCACAGGTAGCACAAGTTTAAATTAAGAGGGTTTGAGCAAGAACGAGAAACTGGTTTGAATAGTTAACTGTGCCGCTGCCGATCCCTGGAGCTGGGGAACTTCCCAACTACTGCCTCCACCTGACAGCAGCAGGATCGGCCCGAGTTCAAGGTGCTCCAAGAGGAGGAGAAAACCCCCAAGCCCTTTACGAAAGGCCCTGAGCCCCATCACGGCATTCACCTGGGTCATCTCCTGCACAAGCTGCAGGCAGGAGGGTCCCCGAGGTGCACCAAGCCACCGCCAGACGCCACCGCAATCCCCGGCTGACCGCACCAAGAGCCTCGGCGCCTTCCAGATGTGCTTGAAGCTACAGCTGAATTTCCAGCTTGCCACAGAATTGAGCCTCACGTTGCAGCCAAAGCCCCCGAGCTTTGGAGTCAGGGTCAAGGGCTACTTTCATCGACACACAGCGAGGTCCAAAACCAGCCCCTGGCAGCCGTCAGGCACCACCACGGGGCAGATCCCAGGGGAGAGGCAGCATGAGATCTTTTAGGAACACCCCGTGTTAACCGGTGTCTTCGCTCTGCGTGCACTCTTCCAGTTTCATTCTGGACACCGTTAAGGAAATAGGACCCTGGTCGCTAACAGGGGAGACCCAGAGCAGGACATTTCTCAGCACTGTGATGCTCTTCAGGGAATTCCCTTCCATTCATTAACCAGCCGCCTCCATTTTTAAAGCCAATCTGCTCAGTCTGGCAGGCAAGTTAAACAAGCTCTTATCTAGGCATTGCTAATATGCCCTCGGTGATAAGGAGGTCCCAGACAGCAGTGTTACCTTAATTAGCTTCACACGAGGACGGGGTGGCAGCGGGGAAGAGAGCAGGTTCACGCTTTTTCATGTCACACCAGGGAAGCGTTTGCGACCGCAGCCTTTCCTCTCGAGCATCGCCCTCCACCGCGCTCCCGAAGCCCAGGGGCTGGCAGAGCTCGGAGGAGTCGTCCAGCAAGAGGCCCGTGCTGAAGATGCACCGAGGGTGGCTTCAGCAGCGTTCAGAGAGACTCAAAGCCCCAACTCGCTCCCCAGAGGAGGGCCCGGAGCGGTCCCAGCTCGCTCGCCCTCCACGTCTGCGCTCCAGACTCCCCTCGTGGGGCAGGTACGCGCGCTCCAACAAAACCACAGCATTTCCCTTAAAAAGCAGCACGCGTTCAACCCTCCCGGCATCACCTCGGGAGAAGGTGCCAGATCCAAACGGCAGCAGCTATCGCCAGGCCAGCGAAGAGGCTCCCCCTGACCCCCCCGGCACTGCGCTGCTTTAAGGCCCTCTGGTTTCTACGGCCCTGCCTCTCCTGCCCCCCATACGGTGCGCCCGATGCCACGGCATCCCGCCAGCGTTCCCCGTGAGGCCGCGGATCCACGAGGATACCGTCCGTCCCCTTCGGAGATGGGCACGCCAGGGTGACACGTGGGAGCGATGCGCTCTGCGCAGCAGCCCGTCTCTTCTGGCGAGCCGAGCGCTGCTGAGCCCTCCCCGCCCTTCCTCTCGCACGCGCCGTTTCTGCGACGCCGACGCTGGCTCGTGCCTTCCTTGGGAAGGTGCCTCCGTCC